TTCATTTTTGTTTTTAATTAAGTTTACTGCCTTCCACTATGAAAGTAATACAGGTCATCATAGAAAATTTGCAAAATACAGAAATACAGAATATACTGAAAGCACAAGAAAGGAAAATGATCAATTGCCCACAATTCCATATACAGGCATACCTCAGAGACTACTGGTTCGGATCCAGATCATCACAATAAAGCAAATACAGCAACAATGTAAGTCACACAAATTTTTTGGTTTCCCAATGCATACAAAAGTGTGATTATATTATATTATGTAATAGCATTATGTGTAAAAACAATACATACCTAAATTTAAAAAATACTTTTATTTCTAAAAAAATGCTGGCACAGATACATAAAGTGAATAGCATTGTCACAAACCTTCAATTTGTAAAAACTACAATATCTACAAAGTGCAGTAAAGGAAGCACCATGAAGTGAGGTACGTCTGTTTCCACTGCTAATGCCTTTTTTCTTTTTTGATTAAAAGAAATCGTAGGCCAGGCATGGTGGCTCACACCTGTAATCCCAGCACCGTGGGAGGCCAAAGCAGGAGGATCACATGAGGTCAGGAGTTCGAGAGGAGCCTGGCCAACATGGTGAAACCCTATCTCTACTAAAAATACAAAAATTAGCCAGGTGTGGTGGTGCACGCCTGTGGTCCCAGCTACTCAAGAGGCTGAAACAGGAGAATTGGTTGAACCCAGGAGGGTTCTATGAGGAGGCAGAGGTTGCAGTGAGTCAAGATCGTGCCACTGCACTCCAGCCTGGGTGACAGAGTAAGACTCCACCTCAAAAAGAAAAAAAAGAAAAAAAATCGTTGTGGTTGTGATCACATAGCATATACTATTCCATTTCCATTTCTTGATGTAACTGACACATTTAAGCTGAATGGATGTTAAAATGAGTGTTAGGAAAGTTACTGTGGTGATGGCTGCACAACTCTGCAAATACACTACTAAAAACACTGAAATGTACACTTTATATAGGCAAATCATATGGCAGATGAACTGTATCTCAAAAAAGATGTTGAAAACTATTGACAAACTTTATTTTTCCTATCTACGTTCTGCAGACATTCTATGTAACACAGGGAGTTACACATTATTTATGTACTATAGTTTTACTTAATCATTTACTTAATGATTATAGGGAAGTATACCTCAAGACATACTTCCCAAATAAAAGATGTATCTGGTTTTTCACTATCATAACCAATGCTAATATCAACACTGAGCTCTTATGAATGTCATATTCTTTCTTCGCAATAGTTTCCTAAAAGGATTTAGGGTTTTAACAATGCCAACAATCTAGAAATTATTTTAAAGGACCAATGGACTTGCAAAACCTAGTTACTCTCTAAAATCATTAAGCATCAAAAATAAGTTAAGTAGGCCGGGTGCAGTGTCTCATGCCTGTAATCCCAGCACTTTGGGAGGCTGAGGTCGGTGGATCACTTGAGGCCAGGAGTTTGAGATCAGCCTGGCCAAGATGGCAAAACCCTGTCTCTACTAAAAATACAAAAATTAGCTGGGCATGCAGGCACATGCCTATACTCCCAGCTAATTGGGAGGCTGAGGCACGAGAGTAGCTTGAACCCGGGAAGCAGAGGATGCAGTGAGCTGAGATTGTGCCACTGTACTCCAGCCTGGTGACAAAGTAAGACTCTGTCTTAAATATATATATATATATATATGTAAACAAATAAATAGGCCAGGAGCGGTGGCTCACGTCTGTAATCCCAGCACTTTGGGAGGCCAAGGCGGGTGGATCACAAGGTCGGGAGTTCCAGACCAGCCTGGCCAAGACAGTGAAACCCCCTCTCTACTGAAAATACAAAAATTAGCCAGGCGTGGTGGTGCACACCTGTAATCCCAGCTACTCAGGAGTCTGAGGCAGAGAACTGCTTGAACCCAGGAGGCAGAGGTTGCAGTGAGCCAAGATCACAGCACTGCACTCCAGCCCAGGTGACAGGGTGAGACTCTGTCTCAAAAAAAAATGAATAAAAATAAATAAAAAGTGGTCCTAAGTGAAACTCACTGGACATTAAGTCTGGGGGAAAAAAAAAAGGGAGATGGGGAATCTAAAGCTAGACCACAAATATGAGACTTAATAGAAAGTCAGTAAGACCACAGATGAACAGTGTTTTTCATATCTGAAAATAATTCAAGGCAATGAAAAAAATCCACTCCTCACAGGTGGGTGCTACATCATGGTGCCTAAGAACACAGGCCTAGGGGTGGACAGAGCTGTGTTCAAATCCCAGTTTGATCCAAGGCCAAAAGACCTCAGGCATACTAATCCTGACTTAAATCACCCAAAAACTGGGGTGACAGAATACTACATCAGAGGTTACTTTGAAGTTCATCTAAATGTTCCTGAAGTGCTTGGTGCAATATCTGCCCACAATGAGCATTTCATAAATAGTTGCAATGATGATAATGATAATGTCAGCTGCTTTTGATCAAACTGGAATGTTGGAATCTAAGCCTTAGCCCTCCAGACGTTTCTGTCTAAAAACTAGAGTATTTTTCTACTAACTCCAAAAGGGCCTGAAGGTATTTTTATTACCATGAGAGTTTCAGCTGTGACCAGAGTTCATTTGCGCAATCTTTACATTCCAGTGCACTAAGTGCTCTCTCACGCAGGGACAAAAGAAGTCTTTGTCCCATGCTTGGGAAAAGCACCATCTTTGCTAGATGAGTTAACTGCTAAACTTAGGGTTGCTGCAATGGCATGTTGGGAAATCACATGAATCTAGGCACATCTAAATAGTGAAGTAGCATGGGTTTTAGGAAAGCAGACCACAAGGAGGTGGATGTGCATGTGTGTGCATGTGTGTGTGTGTTTTAAGGTAACATATTTTGAGTACCATCTATATGCCAGACATCGTGCTAAATGCTTCATACTTCACAACAATCCCGTGAGGTGGGAACTTTGATTAGCGCCCCTTTATAGGCAAGGAAACTCAGTTATCAGTTCCGTGTTTTCCGAGTCAGATGGCTAATGAGTGAGCTGTGGAGCCAGCATTTGAACCTGGGCTCACACACGTTCTCATCCACTATGCTCCACTGACTGGAACTGACTGTAGTGAAACAAGCCCTGCAGATTGTAGTTTAATTTTCTGATTAGTAACTTTTGGCAAGAACGGTCATTTAAAAGCATTAAAAAAAAAAAAAAAAAAAAAGATTGGGCTGGGCGAGATGGCTCCACCTATAATCCCAACACGTTGGGCAGCGGAGGCAGGCGGATCACCTGAGGTCGGGAGTTTGAGACCACGCTGACCAACATGGAGAAACCCCGTCTCTACTAAAAACACAAAATTAGCTGGGCATGGTGGTGTGTGCCTGTAATCCCCGCTACTAGGGAGGCTGAAGCAGGAGAATTGCTTGAATCCAAGAGGCAGAGGTTGCGGTGAGCCGAGATCACGCCATTGCACGCCAGCCTAGGCAACAAGAACGAAACTCCATCCCAAAAAAAAAAAAAAAAAGAGAGGTTTTTTTTTTGTTAAAAGTCTAATTTGGATGCTTCATTATTCTGCCCTCAGCTGTGCAGACAGTCATCTGGGGGGTGGTCCACAGCAACCACACAGAACATAAGGCTTCCCTGAGGCAGATGATGCAAATAAATTCTCACATCTTGTTAGAACCATAGAAGGTTAAATGGATTTTTCTACTCTCCTTCCTGTCTCTGGAAACAAGGTCACCAGATTCTACACGGTTTTAGGAAAGGTGACCATACAATGTATCCTCCAAAATAAGACAGCTCTGAGAGTGCAAGGTGCACTATTAGTAAATACGCCAGCATAAACCAGGACATCATCCTAGTTACAGGTTCCCAGGTCGTCCTGGTTGAGGTTTCTCAGTCTTTCAATGAACCGTTTGTGAACTGTCTAAGTGTGTCAGTAAGCTAAAACGCTGTACATAGAAGAGAAAAATGTGACATGGCTCTTTACCTGGGGCATGAACCAGCAGCAGCTCTAACTGTGCTGGGTCATGTCTGTATCCCAATCTGGCCTCATGGTGAAAGGAAGTGCTTTATCCAAGGGGGGAAAAGTGGAGAATCACAAAAGTCACCACAAGAACTGCAATATTTTTCAGGGGATGGGGCAACTCCAAGGATTGCTTCATTAATATAAGCCCAGAAAGTCTGAACATCCTATTTTGTAGACCCAGAAAACAATATAATGACAATAAGAAGCTCTTCCTCAACCCTAACCCATTGGCACTTTATTTGCTTTATTTCAAGAGGAGGGTTTTTATGCCTCCTGGTGTTCTCTTACTCCTAGAACTTGAGGAGATATACTCATTCTGACAGCTCTTCTAATTCCAGCTCCAGGCCTAAGGAGCAGCAGAACTTACAGGGGTTTAAAAAAAAAAGTCTGAATTTTTCACTCTCTAGCTCAATCTAAGAGCAATGCAGTAAGATTTTCCCAGCATTTTTCCAGCAAATGTAATTAAATTCAAGGGAACTTGGAACAAGAAATGCCCTTAGGGACCACCATGACCAACTTCTTCCTTGCAGAAGAGGGACTGAAGCCTCAAAGTGAAGAGCTGCACCCAAACACATACCCCTAGGACCAGATCTGGCTCCCAGACTGATTTCCTTTAACCACTACTTGGTTTAAATACTATCTCATGTTGTAGATCTCACCAAAGAGAAGAAAGTGTGGGTAGGGGAGGAAAGAAAGGGAGGGAGGGAGGAAAGAAAGAAGGGAGGAAAGGGAGGGAGGGAGGGAGGAAGGGCTGGAAGAAGGGAGAAAGAGAAAGAAGGAGAGAAGGAACAAAGGGAGAAAGGAGGGAAGGAGAGAAGGAAAAAGAAAGAAAGAAAGGAGGGAGGGAAGGAAGGAAAGGAGGCATGGGTTGAGCCAGGTCTGGATCCACTCCATTAAAGCTCAATGACAATTTCAAATTAGCAATGTATGGCAATTTGAGGGAGAATAAAGAGACAACCAAAAATGTCTCAGTAAGACCCTGACAAGAGGAGGACAAATGTATCACCTACCTTTGGTCTTGATGGCTGTTTCAATGTTCAAAGCATCCCGCTCAGCATCAAAGTTGGTGTAGGCTTTGACTGACCCATATGCACTTGGGGGTGTAGAGTGCTGAGGTTAAAAGATAAACATACTCAAATGACACACATTTAAAATTCTCTTGTTGAAATAACAATTCCTAATATGTTTTCCTATTGTTTTCTTTTAACAATTCAAATCATTCTCATACTAAGTAACTAGGTAGGTATTAACACACCATCACACTTCATGCAAGTAATTTCATTTTTTCTAATAAGAATTCTTCAAAGGCTCAGCTAGTTTAGAATATGCTGTCTCAATTTCAACTTTTCATCTTACTTTTCATGAGAGCTCAAAAGTAGACAATGCAAAGCTGGAGACCTGAAGCCACCACTTACTCAGGAAGGCTCTGAAGACCATTATACTGGGCTGGCAACAATTTGAAATAAGCTGAAAATATGGAAATGCCTCAATGACAAGAGTGTTTAGTCAAGTTCCTGCTACAGGCACAGGAATTTCTAGTGGGCTGGTGTTGCTGAGCTTACAATGCAGATCAATGATGGAAGCAGCTTCTTCCGCCTCTTTACTTTGGTCACCACTGTGGCACCAAAGTGGTCTGACCAGACGGCCCACATCCTCCTTGTGTTTCCTCCCCTCTCTCCTCTGTATCCTTCCCTCTGCCTTCGTTAACACCATTCCTTCTGCCTACCACCCTCCACTCTTGCTAAGATTTCTTATTGCCTTTTAAACCACACCCTCCTCCTTTCCCAATGCTTTTCTTTTCTTTTTTTTTTTTTCCTTTTCTTAGGTATGATCTCACTCTGTTGCCCATGCTGGAGTGTAGTGGTGTGATCACTGCTCATTGCAGCCTCAACCTCCTGGGCTCAGGTGATCCTCCCACATCAGCCTCCTGAGTATCTGGGATTACAGGCACCCGCCACCACACCAGGCTAATTTTTTCATTTTTTTTAGAGATGGGATTTCTCCATGTTGCCCAGGCTGCTCTTGAACTTCTGGGCTCCAGTGATCTTCCCATCTTGGCCTCCCAAAGTGCTGGGGTTACAGGTGTGAGCCACCACGCCTAGCCTCTCAGTGCTTTTCAAAGCTCATTATCCTTCCTGATCTGACAGGTGGGAATCTCCCCCATTCCAGATTGAGGTAAGGACAATGGCATGCTTCTACATCAGTTCTCCTTTCAAGGTATTAACTTCCCTCCTTCTTTGAAATGCTCTTACAGTTTTCCCTCTCCCTGCTACCCAGCCAGTCCCAAAGCAAAGGGCAGACAAAGAGGATGGACAATCTAGTTGTGGTTGGCTGATGGCTGGTGGAGGCAGCATCACTGCCCACCCTCAACATCAAGGCTCCCATCCTACAACCCACCCCAACCCCCCCCGCACATAATGCCCATATAATGTGATGACTTGGCCTTGGTGCAGTTTCTGTAAAGAGTGAAAAGACCAAGATCCCTGAGTTACTTCTCCACCCACAGGCAACGCATTATAAACCACCCAGCACCCACGACATTCCATTTTATTAGCACTCAGACTGTACAGGTGAGCAACTAAGATGCCTTCCTCCTAGATGTCTCCCAGGACAGGCCAGAAATCTAAGTCCAGAATTTGACAAATGTTTCCAAATGCACTTGTGAGGACTATCTTGGCCAAATATTAAATCCAGTTAATATTTATATCCGCCATGCAATGCATTAGCAAAGTACGTTCCATCTAATTTCACCACTTAAACTTTCCAGTAAGATGAACTTGATGACATGGACCACACACTCAGGAAAAAGGCAAAGTGCTATTTTGAAATGCTCAGTGTGTTTGCTGTGGTAGCTATAAAATGTGGATGACATCTAAGGAAAAACATTTTCCCATTTATTAAGAGTGCCATCAGTTATTTACAAGGCAGGCAGTCCAGCCATTGAGCCATGTCACATATGACAGCATTTACCAGGAGATATGTTGTCTTGTTCCAAAAACAGTGGGTGGGGAAAAGTTTTGTGTCATTTTACTGTGCCTCTGGAAATGAAATGAGAGAATTGAACCTATTACCTATAAAATTCACATGTCTGAAATCAAATTAGTGAGGCAAAGTTGAATTATCTTTTCTTTCCTTAAAATACTGAGGAACATGTGACATTTTCTATTTCTGCCCCACCTCTCCACACATAGAAATATACTTAAGTAGAGTAACTTCAGAGGCTACACGAAAAGCCCTCTTATAAAACCTGATGGCAAAAACAATCTAAGTTCATTAGTGAAACAAATTATTTAGCACCTGAATTTGTCAGACCTCAACATGCAGTTTGTATTACTGTCAAAAAGAGCATGCACAAGTTTCAAGAAGAAAAAAGACTTTTAAAAAAACTCTATAGGCTTTATTTACACTCCATACAACCTGTGCTTTCACAGGCTCCACTAATTTGAACATTTTGATGGCAAGTACCATGAACAATACAGAGGGTCTTGTACCATGTGACCCAAGTCACTGTCAACCCTCTGTTGAGTGATTCATTGCATTTTAATTTCAATCAAAGCATATTTTGAAAGATCTGTCAGATATGGCTATAAACCAGTATCAGTGCTGAGTTTGTATAAAAGCCATTTCTGCCAAGATGACCTGGAAGATGTATAGTATCATTAGTTATTTTACATAGTCACAATTTATATTCCACTTGATTCTAAAAGTATTTGAAATAATTTTATTTCACATATAACTTAAATTTTTTAATTGTAAAAAAAAGAAACAAATGCAACAGAATGTCTAGGTTCACATATTTCCTATGAAAGAAAATTCAATTTAGTTCTGAACTCCCTAATAGTCAAAGCAAAAAAGGAAACAAATGAATTATAATAATTTCATTATATTCTTGTTTTTTTAAAATAAATATCCTAGCTTTTTTGGAGAAAATCTTTTCCAGGTGTTAAATTTTTAAAAGTATAGGTCCTCAGGCCGGGCACGGGGACTCATGCCTGTAATCTCAGCACTTTGGGAGGCCAAGCAGGTGGATCACAAACTCAAGAGATCAAACCCATCCTGGCCAACATGGTGAAAACTCAGTCTCAACTGAAAATACAAAAATTAGCTGGGTGTGGCGGTGCGCGCCTGTAGTCCCAGCTACTCGCAGGAGAATCGCTTGAATCCGGGAGGTAGAGGTTGCAGTGAGCCGAGATCGTGCCACTACACTCCAACCTGGCGACAGAGTGAGACTCTGTCTCAAAAAATAAATGAATAAATAAATAAAAGTATAAGTCCTCATCTGGAATAACTTCCTGGACACTGTAAGAAATCCAAAAGATGCAGAATTATTTTTGATATGGCCGTGGCTTATGCCAACCAGTAATACAATCCCAGGACATGACATTAAAAGTCATGTATCATCATAACAATTATTACCAATGACATGTTAAGTATGGCAGAATAAAATTCCAGCCATTCCAGTGTCACTAATTCTGTCCAATTTTAACGTGAGGCCAAGAAAAGTTTCCAGTGCCATGATACTTCCTTCAAATTGAACTACTAGGAACAGCTGAAGTATTGAGAAAGAGGAGAACCAAATGATGACTGTCTGAAATGTCCCCATCTTCCTTAGATGTACAAGGAAAGAGAGTAACATGGTTATCCAGAGATGTCCAACTTGCAAAAATTACATCAAGTGAAACTGATATACTTACATCACCCTCCAAGCTGAGCTTGCACAGGATTTCATGAACAGTAGACATTTTGAAGGAAGCTGGAAAAAAAGTACATCAAAAAGTCTTTATGAAGAGGCTTTCCTTTACTCTGAAGCACAGCAATTCATTATGCTAATTTCTACTCCTTGGACCATTTCATCTGAGGATATTGGAGGAATTTTTGCAAATAGATGCAATTCTCATCTTATGATTGAAAAAAACTAAAGCTCAGAGATGGTCTGCCTTGGGTTGGGATGGACTACTAAACTAGCCAGTCTTTCTCTTCCTCTGTGTAAACAGAACCTGGGGAGACTGATTTGTGAATACAAAAACAAAATGTTCCCCGTGGCTAATGCAACCTGTTCAGACAGGATAAAACTGAGACTTCTACTTCTCATAAAAGGTGATGGGCTTGCCAAACCAGCTACTACTTCTGTATTTCTCATAAGTAATTAAACATATTGAGAAGGACCTGAAAGCTGCAACGTGAATTGAAATTAGTAGCATTTTCATGTTGCCCTAATTCTTAATTGGAACCTTTATTATTACCCATAATTACTTTCTTCGTCCAATGATACTTGGAAGATATTAAAGTATTTATGAGAAAGACGATGGACAGATCTTCTGACCTTAACTCATTCCATAAAGAATTGAATCTGTTGTATTTAAGATTCGAAATGGCTGAAATGAAGTCATCTTCTTCCAGTTAATATACTTAATGGGGCAGCAAAACGACAGCCTGATGAATCGGCTTTCCAGCTTTGCAATCAAACAGTTCTCGGAACTGATACGCCCAATCCCTGCCAATAAGGAGTGCTCAATTGGTGGTAAATTATCTCAACAGAGACAAGACAGGTCATCAACATAATCACCCCAAAAATAAAATAGAGTAGAGCTGCGTCCTGAAATAGACAGGAACGACATTTAAATTGCAGCGACCCCTGCTTTGGTCTCTTTTTCCTTAATATTCTTTGATCAAGGAAACTGCACACATGCAAATTCAGCTTTCTATTCTCTTCAGTTTGCTTAGTCTAAGTATTTTCATAAAACTGGTTTGGCAAGAGTATTTGACATTGATATTTGCTAACTTATAGGAACATTTTGGACTAAGCAGATCCCAGGCCTGGTGTGGGAAGAAAGTGGGAAAATGTAAAGAGGAGAGGATTTGCCTTTAGTTGTGGTGAAGGATGTATTTTTGCAAGATTCTCATTCCTGGGCTCTCCCCTAGACCACTCCTCTCTTCTTGATGCTCACAGAAGCTTTTTATGCACAGTGAAGTCAGTCAAAGACCTTCCACTTCCCTCACACTCACAACTCTCAGACAGCCTCCCCACCCCAATTTGTCCCAACTATGGGGTATAATGCTGGTTTGTAAAAAGTATTGCTCTAGAAATAAACTGGTACATTCAGACATGAAATATTATTCAGCACTGAAAAGAAATGAGCCACCAAGCCATGAAAAGACACTGAGGAACCTAAATTGCACATTGCTAAGTGAAAGAAGCCAACTGAAAAGGTAACATAGTGCAGAGTTCCAACTTCATACCATTCTGGAAAGGCAAAATTACGGGGACAGCAAAAAGATCAGGGATTCAGGGCAGGAGGAAATGAATAGGTAGAGCAAAGAGGATTATTAAGGCAGTGAAATGATTCTATATGATACCGTAATGGTGTATGCATGCCATATATTTGTCAAAATCCATGTACAACACTAACAGTGAATGCTAATTATGGACTTCGAGTGATAATGATGTGTCAATGTAGGTCCATCAGCGCTAACAAATGTACCACCCTGATACAGGATGTCGACAGTAGAGGCTATACGTGTGTGGGAACAGGGGAACATGGGCATTCTTTGTATTTTCCATTCAACTTTGCCATGAACCTAAAACTTTCATAAAAATGAAGACAATCAGCCGGGTGCAGTGGTTCACACCTGTAATCCTAGCACTTTGGGAGGCCGAGGCAGGCGGATCACAAGGTCAGGAGATAGAGACCAGCCTGGCCAACATGGTGAAACCTAGTCTCTACTAAAAATACAAAAATTAGCCGGGCCTGGTGGTGGGTGCCTGTAATCCCAGCTACTCAGGAGGATGAGACAGAAGAATAGCTTGAAACCAGAAGGCAGAGGCTACAGTGAGCCGAGATCACACCACTGTACTCCAGCTTGGGCAACAAGAGCAAAACTCTGTCTCAAACAAACAAACAAAAAAATGAAGACCATTTTAAAAAGTCTTGCTCTGTGGCAGAACCATCCAATACAGCAGCCACCAGCCTCATGTGGCTACAAAGGATCTGAAATGTGGTCAGTTCAAACTGAGATGTGCTGTAAGTGTAAAGGACATACTGAATTTTGAAGACATAGTATGAAAAAAATATATAAAATCTCTCATTTATAATTTCTTTCTTGGTAAAGGCAGGGTCTTGCTATGTTGCCCAGGCTGGTCTCAGACTCCTAGCCTCAAGTGATCCAAGTGCTGAGATTACAGGCATAAACCATTGTGTCCAGCCCAATAATTTATATATTGATCATATATTACAATTACAACTATGGTATGTTGAGAATATCTTATTTCCATTTAATTTCACCCATTTATTTTGCCTTTTTTAATGTAGCTACTAGAAAATTTTCAATATAGGAAGCTCTCGTTCTATTTCTATTGAGTAGTACTGGTCCAGAGGATCTCAGAGAGCCGTAATCCAATCTTAATCCCAAAACCTTTGTAACAGCCACAAGTTTGAGTCTTCTTCACTTTTTTTCTTCTTCTTTTTTTTTTAATGTTTCAGTAGAGACAGGGTCCCACTATGTTGCCCAGGCTGGTCTTGAATTCCTGGGCTCAAGCAATCCCTCTGCCTTAGCCTGCCAAAGCACTGGGATTACAGGGTGAGCCACCACGCCCAGCCCTCTTTTTTTTTTTTTTTTTTTTTTTTGAGACAGGGTTTCTCTCTGTGTCACCCAGGCTGGAGTGCAGTGGTGCAATCATAGTTCACTGCAGCCTTAATCTCCAGGGCTCAAGAGATCTTCCTGCCTCAGCCTCCCAAGTAGCTGGGACTACAGGTGTGTGCCACTACACCTGGCTTTTTCTTTTTTTTCAGTAGAGATAATGTCATGTTATGTTGCCCAGGCTGACAGTCTTCTTGACAGAGCAAGAAATCTCCAACTTCAACATGAACCAAGAAACATTCTAGAGGGTCTCATCAGCATCCCTCAACCCAAGAATTACCAAAGCAGAGTGAAATTCCTAGGACTCACATCAAACCACCCAAGCCCTGGCCTCAACTATCACCGCTGGACTCAGTCAGAAGTGGACCAGGTCTGCAGCAGGGGATACACTGTTGTCATATGCTGTGCAGAATTTGTCTCTACCATAAACAGGCAAGAAATAAAAAATGTCAAACGTAAAACAAAAGCAAAAACAGAGGACCAGCAAGTCAGAGTTGCAAACAGAGTTGTTTCCACTTAGAGAGTATTAAATTCCACTTTTTATGAAATCAGGTACCTCACATCGGTTCTGATGTTTAGAAAATCTCGACTAGAGACAAGGTAACTTTTCATTGTGTTGTTCTTTCAAGTTGTCTTTCAAGCTCTGAGCTTTGTAGACTGCTGCCTACCCGTCTCCCACATGGGACTCCCCAGTACCGTGCAGATCAAACACAATCTGATAGGTTTCTTTACACCCTCCATTCATGTTAATTCTTCTCCCACAGCCACAACACCTTGAGGAGACTGTTAAAAGCCCCACAAATCTTCCTTTCGGTTTCACCTTCACAACTGTGCTGCTCTTCCATCAAATTAGTCCTGCATGCCACCATCAACTAAATCTATTTAATCTTGTCAAAATCATTCAACATCATTCGAAATCAGTCCTCCAGCAGAGCCCAGCCTTCAAAGATGAGCATCAGAATCCAGCCTCAGTTCCCTCTGTTTACTCCCCAGCTAAAGCAGACTAGGGTCAAAGTGTGACTTGCCTGTCCACAGTCACCACCACTTTAGTATCTGCTCCAACAGGGTCACCACGACCCCTACTCCACAGAACTCTATCTTGCCTTTCAGTGCCAGGGCACTTTTTGATACCACTTCATTCATCCATCCGGCAGAATGTTTTAAGTGCCCTACACGTGCCAAGTATTCAAATGGCAAATGCATAGGTACAATTCAAAGCAGTAGAGAGCATATGGTTGACCTCATCTTCCCGGTGTAGTCCCACTCCCCCTACAGATTTAAGAGTATCTTTACATAATGTAGGTGCTAAATCAACTTGAAAACAATGAGTTGCTATTTTACATAACATTTATGTTATTTATAACCATTCTGCAGGAAAAAAACACAAAAACATCACAATAACCACAAAGTCACACTTAGCACAAAGCAGTATCTATGAAACGTGACATTATCCCACGCAAGTGCCTTTTGTATCCATATAAGTATTTCCTACTTCATGCGAGTTTAATGGCAAACATTTTTACCCTAGAAATAAAATATGGCCTCTTTCCTCCCATGCCGATAGCATTCCAGAAAACATGGTGAACATTCCTAAAACCTACTGCACTTTCTGTAAGAAGTGTGACAAGCACCAACCCCACTAAATGGCTCAGTACCAGGACTCCCTGTATGCCCAGGGGAAAGCGGCATTATGACAAGAAGCAGAGTGACTATGGTGGGCAGACTAAGCCAATTTTCTGGAAAATGGCTAAAACTACAAAGGAGGTTGTGCTGAGGCTTGAGTGTGCTGAGCCCATCTGCAGATCTAAGAAAATGCTGGCTGTAAAGACATGCAAACATTTTCAACTGGGAGGACATCACAAAAGAAAGGGCCAAGTGATCCAGTTCTAAGCGTTGTCTTTTGTTTTATTATGAGGACAATAAAATCTTGAGGTTATGTCCAAAAAACAAAATAAAAAGAAATAAAATACAGTGCTTGCTTCACCACTCCATCAAATCCCCTAGCAATGCAAAGTCATTTTGCATATGATCAAATATTGCGAAGTTGGCTTTGCAATGTGCGATCCACTGTTTGTTAAAACATTAGTCTAATATAGCATATTTGACTAATGAGAA